GCCATTAGCTTACGTTGGTTGTATGACAATTGAAAAGGCTTGGATAATTATAGAGCACTTGCGAAGTTTGATCTACGTCGATAAGCCGTCAAACATAGTAACGTATCATTATTAGTTATATTTTAGACTTGTTCTACTCCTAATGATTTTGAAAAAGATATGGTTCTTTCGAGGTATAGTCTTTTGTTTAGTTTATTTTTTTATATTTTAGATGTGAAAAGCTTGTACAAGAAAATGAGAATCTTAAGATCAAAGTGCACGAATTAGAAAGGATGGTTAATGAACTTAAATCGAACTATTCCGACATCACCGATTCCGATGCAGTCAGAGGCCTACTGCTTTCTTTAGAGACTGAAAGGCAGACAGAAAAAAGTAAATTTACGAAAGAGCTTCAAGAAAATCACAGAGAGATATCCAGATTATTGTCTCAAATTGAGACAATGGCTTCTACTGAACGAACGTTGCGAATTCGTCTGGATAAGCTTACTAAGGAGATTGTCCTATATAAAAAAAAGTAAAGTATCTATCTCTAAAATTCGTGGAGTACTTTTTTATGGCTACGTTACCCTTAATAACAATTTTTTTAGTCCATTTCAAAGATACCTTGACAGATCAAAAATACAACCAGAAACTGATCAAAGAAAGTTTTGGGGATTTCTTAATGGGCGTGTTGATCGCCCTACAAATAGGAACCAACGATCATCAAGTTCTGCATCAGCGTTCAATACCGAGATTCCTACTAAGCGTAAGTCACGAATAGATCGCGACACCAGTTGCCTTAGCTGTGAAGATGGTTCACGAGTTGTAAATAAATTAAAATCAGATGCTCCATCATTTATCAGAAAGCCTAGAATTAGAACTTTGTCATTGGATCGAGCTTTTGTTGGATGTGAGTTTTGTTATATTTGTGATTATATCCTTAAATTTTCATATTTTACTACATTGTTTTAATTATTCTGAATTTAGCCAATTATTTTCGGAAATTTAATCCGACTGCCTACATAATAGAGCAACAAAAAAAGCGCCTGGAAATTGAAGAAAAAAGGTATTGATATCTTTGGCCATGGAGTTAGAATTTATTTGCAAACTAGCTCAGATGCTCAAGCTTTATCTGTTGTTTATTTTAGAGCTCTTGAGCGTCGCGCTCTTCTATTAAATGATAATAGATCATCCAGCATTGATTCTGTCAGCAGCCTGAGACGGCAACCATTTGTTCCAGAGTCTCTTATTCGAAACCGTTCAGCATCGCCAGAAAGCCGTCGTTACACTGGACGTAGAAACAGATCTAACAATATACAGAGACCGGGCACTTATTCCTCTGATAGAGAATCTTCAAATCAAGTTTCTGTAGCCTCATGTTCCTCCCCACATTATGCTCCATCAAAGTTTGGAAATCGAGTAAGCAATTAATGTAATCTTTAGTATATCATATGTAAATATTAAATAGCTAACTTTTAGGCATTTATTCAGCTAAAGCGATTAGCAGTATTACCACATATAGGCTGGAATAACAGCCTTATAAATTATTAAATGTTTAATAATTATATCTATAATTAAGATATTTTTAAAAAGGAATTACGAAAAATTATTTGAGGAGATAATGGACTCTTTAAAAATATTTGGAGTTAAGGGCTAAAAACAATTGATTAATGTGATTTCTGATTTATTCTTCTTATTCCTTGCATCTGATTCGCTTTATTTTAAATATAGATAAACTATCAACTAAAGTTTCAGGCTATAAATAGCAGAAAATAAACATTGAAATATGTTTTAGCTTTATATTTTTATGCTTTATACCCTAATTTAAAAATTTATACACACATCTTTAAAATGTGATTTGGTGGAAGCCTGGATCAGTAAGGCATGAATTTTTAGTAAAATTTAAATTTAATAAAAATATTTTTATTTCAAGGAGATATTTATTTATTTATTTAAAAAATATTATCATGAGTACTAGTAATATATTCAATAAAATAAAATAATAAAACACTCATTTTTAATTTGATAATATTTCTTCCTAGGAGTAAATAGGATAGTTTCGGCGTTTGACGATAGTTTTAGATATAAATATTAATTTTCTGTAGTATACAATTGCAATATCCTTTGCATCCATTACCAATATTACATTTCAAATCAAGGAAGAGCAAGTGATTGTCTGAATCCGAGTAC